GTGTGTGTGTGTGTGTGTGTGTGTGTGTGTGTGCGCGCATGTGTGTGTGTGTGTGTGTGTGTGTGTGTGTGTGTGTGTGTGTGCGCGCGCGCGCGCGCGCGTGCGTGTGCGCGTTTGAAAAAGGGAGAGGGAGAGATAAGCCAACCTGCACCGGAGCTGGGAGGGAATCAATGCACGCAGTGGTCTGCCTGTGCACAGCCCCTCCCACGCAGTGGCACGCGCCGCCGTCCGGCGGGGCAGCCTCGAAACCCAAGGCAATGCACCCCCGTGTTTTACCCACCATGAGTACAATGACCAGCTGCCGCTCGCTGGTGATGACGCCCACACCCACACCAATGATGATGCTGCGGGCAAGAACACGATTCAAAGGTCCAAGACCCGAGGAAAGAGCAAAGGGAGGGGGATCGGTCACCGACTGCCGCAGCGGGGGCCGCCGCAAACCATCCTGCGCAGACGGGCGCGCCGGCCGGGAGCGCCACAGCCCCAGCCCCAGCTCTCGACGCCCTTACCAGGCAGGCCCCACGAGCGGCCCGCCCGCCAGACCCCTTCCATGCATTGCCTCCCCACCGGCCCAGTCAGAAGCGCCAACTGCACACCGGCCCCGCCCTCTCGTGCCCGGCCGCGGCAGCGAAAACAACCGCCCCTGCCCCGCCAGGCGCGAAAAACAAACCATCAGGGACGCACCTGTGGAAGATGCACCCCAGTTCCATGGTGTACGCCGTCACCCGCTGCTTCACATTGCCCAGCGCCCCGGCCGACCCCAGCCACCGCTGCGCCGTCAGGCTGCTCGTGCAGGAGTGCGTGTGCGGCGCATGCGCGGCGGCGCCCTCCTCGGCCGCCGAGATCAGATCCTTCGCCGAGACGGCGCCCTTTTCGGCCGCGTCGTCGCCGCTGTCATTGTGGTGGTTGCTGTGGTGGCTGTGGCCGTGGTCGTGGGACCCCTGGTCATCTGCATGGGTGTGGGCATCCCCGCCCGCATGAGCATGCAGCTCGCGCTGGTGCGCCGCCGCCGCCGCCGCAGCCTGGGGCTTCCCACCGCCGCCGCCACCGCTGCTGCCGTGGCTGTGACCGTGGCCGCAGGCGCTCCTGAGGGCCTTGACCGTGGCCGCGCCGCCGCCACTGCTGCCGCTGCCGGAGGCCACGCCTGCGCGCAGCTGCTCCTTGTAATCCTGTTTGGGGGATTGGGTGGCCGCACATACACATACGCAATACACCTTCATGTGTACATATACACGTATCTACAATTACATGAGCACATGTGCACTCAAATCTACAGCAGCACACGAGGAAAAACCAAGACGGCTTTCCCGGCAGACCAATCAGCTGCCCAAGGATCAAACCCTGTCCCGACCCCCGTCGCCAGCCAGCGGCCGCGGGCCGGCGCGGCGCGCCCCGCGCGCCCCCACAAATATGCAATGCGCCCGGCGCGGCAGCCGGGCGGGCGCACCTTTGGCGCCCACAGGGCCGTCAGGGAGGAGTCCATTATGACCAGCGCCAAGATGCCGACCAGCACGGCCACGCCGCCAATAGGAAAGTCGACGATCTCCGATAGCTCCATGACCGCCTCTGGGATGATGTGGACCTGGCGGATGGGGTAAGATTGGGAAGTTGAGGTGGCGGGGGCGTGTGGTGTGTGGGTGTGGTACGTGTGTGTACGTGTTTGTGTTTGTATGCGCGCGCATGTGTGTGTCTGTGTGCACAGCAGTGTTGAGTGTGCTTTGAGTGAGCAGCTGCTAGTGAGGCCTGGCATGCGCCATGCCAGCATGCATGAGCGGACCAAGCAAGCGTGTGGAATGGCGCGGGTCAGGGCGCAGCGCATGGGGCGCCGGGGGTTCAGCGACCGCGGCGCGGCGCGGGGCGCACCAGGGCGAGCGCGAGGATGATGCCGCCGGCGAACGCGCGTGCTATCCGCGCAAAGGGCGCGTCTGGGCTCTGGAACGCGCGCAGGAAGAGCGGCGGGAGGCCGCATAGCAGCGCGCCGGCGGCGATGGCGAAAATGGCGACAATTCGGACGTCCAAGGTGCTGCGCCGGGGTAAGGGGGGTGGGGGGGGGAGGGCCATCGCTGTTCTGGGGTGCTGGGCGCGGCGGCGGCGGCGGCGGCGGCATGATGGCGAGGCGGATACTTGAGGGATGAGTCGGAGGGCGCGCCGTGCCGCTTTGCGGCCTGCCAACCCATCCGACAGGTGTCAGCTGTCGCACGCACGCACCCGCGGTCGGCGCCCGCGGCAGCCTCGTGCTCCTCTAGGGGGTGGTCGGCGTCTGCGGCGCCGCTGGTCTGCAAGTGGCCGAGGCCCATCAACGCTCTCCGTGCCGTCAGCATAGCGTCCTGCGCGTCCATCACCGCGCCCGCCGCGTCGGCCGCCGCTCGTCGCCGAGGGCGCGTGGGGATGTCGCGATGTTGGAGAGCTGAGTGCGTGGCGCCCCGGTGCTGCTGCTGCAGCCGCAGATGTACCAATACAATGAGACTTTTTAGAGCTGATCCACGAGGGTTTGCGGGCCAACAACAACAAAAGTTGAAGACCGCCAATGAGGCGAGAGTGCGAGACTGTGGTGGCGGGGATCTGCGGCGAGTTTATGCACGCGGGTCACTTATCAAATCTGATAAAATTGATTGCGATCGACCCGGGGGCCTTGGAGCTCAGTGCGTTCCAGGCGGCGCTGCGGTCACCGCAGTGTGTACGCCGATGTACTCCGCCATACGCAGGCGGCGCTTGACGCGCCGGTGGCCTAGGCACGGCCACCCAGAGGTCCAATACCTCTCAAAAAATACCTTTATTTCATTGAGCCTGTCCGCCAAGCCCAACTCGCTCTGCCGGTCCAGGCGCGGCCGCCGCTGCCCCCCATTGCAGGTTTGGGTCAACCAACCCCACAGCCACCCTCGCCTGGCGGCTGGCCCTGACTGTCCCCTGCTCACTACATCACCGGTTTCCTGACCCGCAAAAGTATGCTGAGATCGCAATCTGGGGCCCTGTGCGTGGCATTCGTTGCGTGTGGTTGCATGCTCTCACAGCTTGCAGGCAGGGCACGTTTGCATTCCCCCCAGGGCTGCCGCCGCCGCCGCGCCGTCGACAGGGGACCGATCCCGGAACACTGGTGCAGCGGGCGGGGGTGTCGAGGAAACGCGGTACATTCGGCATCTGAGACGGCGCCCCGGGCTCCAGGGCTGAGCGCTCAGCGCTGCCCCGCCGCCACACGCATCCCCTCGCTGACTCAGCATGGCTGGCTGCCATTAGACGGGCCGCTCGCTTGGCATCTGCCCAGGAGTGCGACGCGGCCCCCCCCCCTCCAGGCGCAAACATGTTACAGATATACAGGACCTGCATGCTGGGAGCCTCTGGCGTCCCCGCTGAAACCAACGCAACAAAGAAAGGTGGCGCCCCAGCTGGCACACCCCCCTCCTGTCGCGCGCCGCTCAGCCAGTCGTATCGGGCAACGGCCTGTTCCGCAGATCTTGAAGATCTTCAGATCTCCAGATCTGGCCTGGGTGCCTGCAGATCCTCACAAGATGAACTTCGACAGGTCCTGCTTCTTCAGCAGCGCCCCCACCTTGTCGCGCACGACCGCCGCATCGACGACGTGCGCGCAGCGCCCGCCGCCGCCGGCCGCGGCCGCCTCCGCCACCTGCGCCGTTGGTAGCGTGTGCGTGTGCATCGCGTCTGGGCGTCTAAGCATGTATGTGTTTGTTTGTGTGTGTGTGTGTGTGTGTGTTTGTGTGTGTGTTTGTGTGTGTGTGTGTGTGTGTGTTCCTAGAAGTGTGAATGTATTCATGAGTGTTTGAG